GGTCCTCCACCTCCATCGTGCCCACACTCCAGAAAGGGGTGTGGCCGGAACCTCCTTATGGGGCCTGGGCTGCAGCGCAGGGTGGCATTCCGGCCGCGGGTTGGGGGCGTGAGGGTTGGGTAAAGGGTGGTGGGGCGCGTGGGCGAGAGGACTGGGGCGGGGGCTGGAGGTCGCCAGGCAGAGCGCCCCCTCCAGCCGTCCCCTGCACCCATTCAGAAACCTCCCAGCTGCGCTCCGCGCCAGGCTCGCCACCCCGTCCCGCCCGGGCCCTGTGCCAGGCCAGCCCCACTTTTTGGACGGATGAGGAAATCGAGGCCCAGGGCCCCACCGCCTCTCGCTCCAGCCCCGCTCCAGAGGGGGGCGGCGGGGAGGCGGCAGATCAGTCCGTCTTCTGCCCCGTCCCTTCCTCCATCCTGTGAAGGGGCCGCCTGGGACGCGCTCTCCACCTTTGCTCCGCTCCGTGTGCGCAGCCCGCAGCCCAGGGACCCGCGCCAGCCCAGCCCGGGCGCGCAGCAGAGCCCTTCGCTGTTTGCTGCCCTCGCTCAAGGCCGGGTCCAGAGCCCTGCGGGCGCAGCCCGCGCCGGGCACTCGCTCGAACACCCAAACACCGAGTGTTCTAAAGCGGCTCCGAAGGGCCAGGCGGTCTCCTTTCTCCGGAGGCCATCACCGAGTCGAGTCCTGTCGCCTGCAGGGACTCAGCTTTCCCAAATGAACAATGAGATGGTCTCTTCCACTTTCGGGTTGGGTTTCCAGCACCCACTGGGTGCCTTCTAGGCTCCTGGCCCTGCACCCCCACTCAGGATGATTTGCGCTGTGGTGGATTGAAGCCCTGCAGCTTTGGGAGAAGCGAAGTCGGGGAGGCATCGAGTCGAGTTATTATCCACCTGGATCCTTGAAAATCCCTAGTCTTTTGCCTAACTGCCCGGGCAGAGGCCCCCCTACCCCACGCTTCTCTCTCGGTAAAAAGCAACCAGCTCTGCTCTACCTTGAGGGTGCAGGTGTACAAGGAGATGGGGGGGTGGAGAGAGGGGCAGTGTTGACTGCACACACCTGGGCCAGACCCTGAGGAGACCTAGAAGTAGCTCTAGAGAGAACATCTAGGGATTTTCCCCCATTAAATTTATGCCACTAGCGTTTATTGAGCACCTACTATATACCACACCCAATGCTAGGGACTAGAAAAGAGTCAGCACACAGTAGGGGCTTAATAACTATTTTGTGTGACTGGAGGCTGTCAAGCGAGCAGGAGACACAGGCTGCCTAAGCTGGCGAGGGGAGCACTGAGAGCAAGGGGCCTCCAGAACTGGTCCTTTAGAAATAGGGAGTTTTGATGGACAGGAGAGGAAAGGATGGGCCCTCTGGGAAAACACAGCAAAGGCTCATGGGGGCAGAACGGTGATTACATGGCTTGGGGAGAAGAGGGAGGGCTGGGGGTGGGTGAGGGGGCTCAGCTCAGCAGTCACCTCCTCTTGGAAGCCCCTCCTGATTCCAGGCCAGGCAGGTGCTCACCTGGGCTACGGTACTGTCTGTCCCCTGTCACAGCAGTGGCCATTTGGTTTGTGACTGTGGGTTCCTCTCTTCGGAGAACCAGGAGCCCTTCAAGGGAACACCCCATCATGTCCACAGCTGCTGGGGTCCGACTCCAGGGAATTGTCCGGGACTTTTATTTTGTCCAGGAGTTTTTGATATGCTGAAAAATATCTGGACCAGTCTCTAGCTGGACCAGTCCTAGTGCTCAGCCAGGGCCCTGTCTGTGGTCTCTGAGGGTCTGTGGTCCACTTCTATGGCCAGGATGAAGCAAGGACTGGGGCATCCCTGGTTGTTGTCCAGAGAAAACTTTCAGTAGCTCAAAAAGGGGTGGAAGCTGAGTTGTAATCCAGACAGAGAAAACAGATGATGAGCTGGAACCAACTGACACCATGTCAGGCCCCACCCAGGGCCACAGGAGTGCACCACAAGAGTCTTGGCTGCCGGCTAGCTTCTCCAGGGCCTGGCTCACCTCTGCCTTGGCTCTTCTAACCAGAGGACTCTGCTCTGGGATGGCAGGCGAGGTGGGAGGGCACGGCAGAAGGCAAGGGCCCAGCTCTCAGCCCTCCTCAGTGCCCCGGCCCCCGGGCTTCAGCTTCTCCAAGGTCCTGCTCACGGTGGACAGGCTGCTACGGGTTCCTGGGGGAGAGGACAGAGACATGAGCTGATTAAACAGAAGTCTGTAGAATTGTTGGGGTCAGAGGGCCTGAGTGTGCCTGGGACCCCAGCGCAGAGCTGGGATAGAATGGAGAGAGAACTTTTCCTTCCTTCCTTCCTTCTTTCTTTCTTTATTTTTTTTAAATTTTTTTATTTTTATTTTTTAGTTTTTTTTCCCTTCTTTCTTTCTCTCTCTCTCTCTCTCTCTCTCTCTCTTTCTTTCTTTCTTTTCTATCGTTTTATTAAGGGCTCATACAACTCATCACAATCCATGCATACATCAATTGTGTAAAGCACATTTGTACATTCACTGCCTTCATCATTCTCAAAACATTTGTTCTCCCTCAGCCCCTGGCATCAGCTCCTTATTTTCCCCCTCCCTCCCTCCTCCCCCATGAACCCTTAATAATTGATAAATTATTATTTAGTCATATCTTGCCCTGTCCGACATCTCCTTTCACCCACTTTTCTGTTGTCTGTCCCCCAGGGAGGAGGCTATATGTAGATCCTTATAATCGGTTCCCCCTTTCCACCCCACCCTCCTTCCACCCTCCCAATATTGCCACTCTCACCACTGGTCCTGAAGGGATCATCCGCCCTGGATTCCCTGTGTTTCCAGTTCCTGTCTGTACCAGTGTATAGGAGAGATGACCTTTCTATCATCGCTTGAGAGAGAAACTGGAGATGGTCAGAATGGCCCTTTCCAATGGGAGGCAGCGGAGTGCAGGGTCTAGAGGTGGGACCCCGGAGCTGATGGCTCCACTACCATCTCTAGCTGTGTGCTGCTGGGCATGTCCCTTGAACGCCCTGTGCTCCATCTATAAAATGGGATTAATTCTAGTATCTTGTCTGTGGTTGGTGTGAGATTTAAAGGAGTTGCTATCTGTGAAATGCTTAGAACAATCTAGAATGGGACCTAATACTTACTGAGTATTAGGGATCCTGCTACTGGCACCAGAGACTGTGGGCTGAGGTCAGCTTTGGAGAATTCCTACCCTCGAACTTTTCAGTGTGTGAGGAGAAGGGATCGGGAAGATCATTTGTTCCAGGTAACAGCTCTGTGAGTCAGATTCCACAATGGAAGAGGTTCCTGGGAAAGTGCCCTGGGGCATATGGGCCCTAGGGGAGGGGACGAGGCAGTGAGGACCCTCTGTTTCAGAGTCCACATCAGGTGGAGACAAAGAAGCCCCTCAGCTTGGAGCAAGAACTAACAGTGACCCTCCAGGACAGGGTACAACAGCCTCTGTGGCCTTCGGAGGCTGTAAATCTTTGGGGAGCAGAAAGCTTTCTCTTTCTCCTGCAGAGCAGCTAGCTGGTGGATTCAAGTTGCTGACCTTGCAGTTGGGCAGCACATGTAATTAGTTGGAATGGACTCCGTAGCAGTGAGTTGTTCTGTTTTCTAGCAAGAGAGGTTTTGACTAAACACCTGGAAGAGCTATCTATCCCACTAGGTTGACTCCCACTGCGAGGTCTTTCTGCACCACTGTGCCTGGGGAGCACGGAGCAGCTCAGCCAGAGGGGGAGCATGGCAAATGAACTCCAGACTTCCCAAACTTACCCTTGTTGCCACTGGCGCTGGATCCTCCCTCCCCGTGGTCTGGCCCCGAATGGGGCTGGATTCTCGGGTTCCCTGCAGGATGAGACCGTGTACCCCAAGTCATTCCCAAATCCAGCCCAAGAGAGGTCCTTCCTGCTATCTAATCCCCATCTCTCCTGCTGTCTTTGCTTCACTGACTGCTCTTAGGTGTCCCACATGAGCTGGGCTGATTATTTGTGGGGGTGGGAGTGGTGGCAGGGAACAGACATGGATTTCTGAAGAAGATGGCAGATTTTTAAAGGAGATGGGTTCCTGGGGAGAACTTGGGGACATATGAAACCCCACAGATCGATGGAGGTGGGAGTCTATATATATGGGGAGCTGAGATAAAGTGGGGAGTTAGTCAAGGGTCCTGTGGTCTTAGGGGCCATGGAGGGCCTAGATGGGGGCACAGGGATGGGAAGTGGGTGGGGCTCTGGGAGAGATGGAGACTCTCAAGGGACAGTCTAGGTGCTTTGAGCTACTTCAAGCCCTTTTGTGGCAGGCAGCAGGCTAGCGTCTGCTGCACTGTAGTCATGGCAACGTCTACAACACACACCACTAGGAAGACCGCCCACTTGGGCTCGGCTGTGCTGCACAGTGGGCCACAGACCTGCACACAAAGGTCTTGCCCAGTCCTCAGCAGAGTCGGCTGGGGGTGGGTGGGGAGTCACCAATCGTTGACAGGATGTGGTCCAGGTTGAAGCGAGCCTTCAGAAAGGGATAGGCGAAGAGGAGGAGCCCTGCGAAGAGGGGCACAGGGGGTGGGGGTGTCTGTGATGGGGGCAGTCAGTGGGGACTGCGGATAGAGTGGTTTAGTTATGCCTGTGGGGAGGACAAGTGACTGTCCCTCATGGGTCTTCCCAGAGCCTTCGGTTCCTGGTGCCAACAGCCGGTCCCGGGAAGGGTTGGGGGGCGGGGGCAATACAGATGTGGGGAGAGGGCCCTCAGGTCGGATCCCTTTCCCTCCCAGAGGGTTAGTGAGGAGCCCAGCTGGCACCACCACCACCACCACCACTTCTCCAGGCCCCCTGCTTCCCACCACTGCCCACCTGCCCAATCCCAGGGCAGGACTGCAATTGGGCTGGGGGCTCCTCAGCGTGCTCCTCCCTACGTAGACCAGAGGAGGAAGTGGCCGCAGAGCAGGCCTTGCCCTGCTGGCCCCACTTGGTGCCTGTGGCCGGTGGTTGGGCTTTCAGCATCCATTCAACCCACAGCCTCTACTTTTGCTCTTGGCCGTGGGTGGGGTGCAGTGAGGGTGGAACTCAGCAGCACTGTGGGGTATCAGTGGGACTGGCGCAGACAGACAGATGGACAGGTGGCTAGCCAGACAAATCTGTTGCTGAGGCAAACAAGGAAGCAAGCGAAGTTGGATTCTATTGGAACCCAGAGGGTCCCACTGGGGACTCGGTCCCATTCTACCTGCGCCCCACCCCCACCCCCCAACCATTACCTCCACCCCAAATAGCCTTGTGAATCCCACCACCAACCTGAGAAAGGAGGCAGCAGGGCTTAGGGGCCACAGGGGGCGGAGCTCATGAGCAGTATGACAGGAAGTTTCCTCCCCCCCCCAAAGCCTGCCCTTCCTCCCCATGGACCCAGGGCCGCCTGGCTGACACTTCTCGTTCCCATGTCCCCTGACCCCACCCTCAGTGCCTGGTGACCCATCCTTTCCTCCACCTAACCATGGAGGTCTTGTTCACCTAACCAGGCCCCTGGCCCTGCCCGACACTCACTCACCCAGACCAGCTGCGCCGATGAAAACACCGCCCATGGCCGCCGCGGCCTTGGACATGGAGACGCCAACGATGATGCTGCCAGCCACCAGGCCGAGGGCCACGCAGCCCAGCTGCAGGCAGCGGAAGTCTCTGCTGCTGCTGGGGATGTCCATGCAAACCTGCTCAGGACACGGCCTGCCGCCAGCGGGCTCTGCCTCCGGCAAGTCCCGGAGGAGGTCACTGTCCTCGTGGACGTCCCTTTGTTGCTGCTTCACCTTCACGGTGGGGGTTTCTGGGCAGTAAGGTTCTGGATGGCAAGCCTTGGAATACTTTGCAACCCTACCCTACCACTCTCCTAGGACCCCCAGCCCCTGACCTGGTCTCTCCCTGGTGACCCCAGGTTACTTACAATCCCTCTTCCCCCAAAAGGCCTCTCAAGCTGGAGGTCACTGTCAGGGCTCCTGCCTGGCCACATTCCTGTCATGGCTCCCAAAGTTCTAGGCCTGCCCTACGGGGTCCTCCTCTGGCAACCTCTTCCCAGGAGAGCCTCTGCTCCCCAATGCCTGCATGGTTGCCACAGAGCCTTAGCTGATTAAAATTTAAAGCCCTGAGATGGGAGGGGTGGAGTTGGGGGGTGCTGGTCCAGAGAGGTACAGCAGGGAGCTGCTGAGTTATTCATGAGGCTGCAATGTGAGTCGAAGCTTGGGTCCTGGAGGCCCCCTGGGGCAGCCAGCCCAGAATGCACCTCTGGTTTCTGATGGGCCAGGATGGCTTACCTGGGGTCCAGAGGCCAGGGGTGTGGGAGGCACTTTTGGGGCACAGGCTCTGACCTTTGACCTGAAGGTACACCTGGGCCTATCCTTGGAGACTCTGATATGAGAAAATGATAGCCCACTCTCTACCCAAGCCTCCACCCCATTCTACCAGCCCATCAACCTCTGGGCTGCCAGGCAGGCTTGAGACTTAATCTCAAGGGACCAATATCGCTTGTGGTGTCCCCCATCCCCACCCTGCCATCCCTGGCTAGGGGCTGACAGGGAAGTGCAGTGGTTGGGGTGGTCTTGAGATAGGAAGCAAACTCGTGCCGGTCGGGTTGGGAAGGAGAGTTGGCAGGGTGGGTGTCGGGGGACTGGGAGCAGGAAACTCTTGGTCTCGTGGAGCAAGTACCTTTCACCCAGCCCATCTGACCTATTTGCAGGCTACACAGCGGTAACCCAACCCAACCTGCCCTGAGCCCTGGCCCCGCCCTCGTCCCAGCATGGGCCATTAGCTGTATGCTCCAGCCCTTAATGGAAGAGGTTCCCCCAATCCCAGAATATGATCTTGGCCCTAGTCCTGAACCTGGGTAGAGTTCACAAAGACCCCTACCCCGAGCCCACGCATTGACCCCACTGGTCTCTTCCTGGCTCCCCATCATGCCTTCGGTCTGACACCCAAAACCCCAAACCAGATTCACTGCCATTGAGTCAATTCTGACTGAAGTCCTAGCAGCCCTATGGGACAGGGTGGGATTGCTCCTGTGGGTTTCCGAGCCTGTGACTCATCTCTCTCCCTTGGAGCAGCTGGTACTACTCACGAGGGTTACCCAACAAGTACCCACGAAGCCACCAGGGTGTCAAATCATTCTTGCTACCACGACCCTCCAAGCTGCCTCCCCTAGCCCCTTACCCTCTGTTGCCCTGCCTGCTTTGAGATGCTGCTTGGCTCCTACACCCTGGAGCCCGCTTCCTCATCCCCAGGGCCTTACTTGGCCAGCCCCAGTTCTGAGAAGCCTCCAGGATCACCCTAGCAGGGGGCTGCTGTCACTACTGCCAGGCCCGCTCTGAAGGGCCCACACCATCCCTGTTGTCTCTGCCTCTCCTGTAGACAGTCTGTGCCTTGAGGGAGTGCCAGAGGAGGCCTGTCAGTTCCGTAGGATGTCACTGCTGGGCAGGACCAGAAGGGCCCATAGTTGGGCTTCTAGGCACAAGGACAGCGCTGGGGGAGGTTGACACCTGCACTACCACCTCTGGTCAGCAAAGAGGAGAGAGGAGCCTTTATCTCCAACAAGACACCTTCCTTGGATATGGTGGGGTGTAAGCAAGCCAGGGTTACCGAGTTGAGCTTTAGCTGAGGGATAGCACCACCAGGAAGTTGGGGAGAGGCCTGGGGGAGGGCAGGGGCAAACCCAGAAGGTATCCCTAGATGGGAGGATGGGTGGCTGCAGAGCACAAGCAGGCCCTTGGGCCAATGTGCCTGGGCACTTTGTAGCCACCGTCCCAGCTGCCAACGTCCACCCCCCCATGCCTCCTGCCAGAAGCGAGGTCTGATTATTCCTCTAATTAGGCATCAAATGACAGCCCATGTCTCTGCCGTACGTAATTGATCCCCTGCTGACTAGTTTCAGAAGGAGCAGCCAAAATAATTGTCCATGAAAACATGATCCCAAGATGTCCAACTCTGGGAATCTGAATCCCCTTCACCCACCCTGGAGTGTTTGTAAAACTCTGGACCTGACTGGCCACCTTTCAACATTTACAGCTGCAAGCTGCTCCCACACACCAGCGGCAAGACAGGCGCCTCTACACCATGTCGCCAGCAATTCCAATTCTCATTCCACCACCTACACACTGTGGGCTTGGGCTAGCCTACTACTGCATTACACCCCACTTTCTTCATCTGGGGGGGATGGGGGGCAGAGGCTGGATTTGGGGATGCCCACAGGGATTCTGGAAGCACACAGTGACTTCCAAAAAACAAGTGATAACAGTCTCTATTAGGGTTTTGCTTTGACACTGCAAATCCCCCCAAGCCCTGAGTCAGGGAGGAGTCACACAAGCTACGAAGGGTTGTAACTTCTTAGACCCACAGGGGCACAGCTCCTTCAGGACAGATGGGGAAGTCAGACAGGTGAGGTGGGGAGTTTGCTGGAGTCCTGGATGGAACCTAGGCTTCCCAAGCCCCTGCCCACCTGGAAGTACTCTGCATCTCCCCCTTGTCTTGAAGTGTGAGGAACCGGCCGGCAGCAACCCCACCAAGAGAGGGAGACATTGTCTTGAAAGAGTCAGGCAAGTCTGAAACTCTGGGCCCATTGCCCCTTGGTGACTTCCCACATGGAGGGGAGATGTACCAGTTCCTTCCTGAGCAGGGAGTTGAGCTTTACCAGCTAGGAAAAAGAAACTGTCCTTGGGTGATGGGTTTATTATAATAGGCGAGTGTCTGTGGGCACCCTGAGATGGAGCCCATCGTGCTAGAGCCCGAGCACCCCCTCCACTCCCCACCCCTCACAAGCTCCTGGACACCTCAGGACTGAGTGTGGGGCTTGCTCAGGGTGTTGGCAGGTCAAGGGCGCGTGGCTGAGTTCCACCAGATCACGTCTCTGGGTCTCCAGCTCTTTCCTTCTCAGACGCCAAGTCCAAAAGCAGTGAGGAGGTGTGGGGGAGGGGGAGGAAAGGCCCCAGCCTGCTTTAGTTTATTTTCCCTGAGGGCTGAGAACTCTGGAAAAGAGCATGATTAATTCACCAATCCCCTGGGGGACGAGCAGCTTTCCTGAACCCTTTGGAAGCTGAAGTCAGGGAAGCGGCTTCCAAGGCAACTGCTACCATAGTAACAGGAGGGCTAGCCTTGGGGGGACTTGCTGCTCGGGGCCCCTCCAGACCTCAAGCAGCTGGAGCAGCAGCAGGACCTTGGCCTTGCTGGTCTTGGAGCTGGGGCAGGGGGCTGGCAGTCAGTCAGGGTGGGGAGGAGGGCCCAGAGTTCAGGCCAGCGGACATCTGGGGGCAGAGAGACGGGATGCAGATGGGCAGCCTCAGGGTCTGGTTGGACCAGGGCCGGCACTCACTGGATTCTGAAACACAAGGTCTGAGACATCTAGCTGGCTGGGACCAGCTCTCTCCTGAGGCCCAGGTGGAGTCAGCTCTAGAGCTGGGGTGCTGGCTTCTGTCCTTTAGGTGCATGTCTGGAAGGAGTTCTGAGGTGCCAGTGTCTGCCACAAGTGCCCCTCCCCAGCAGAGCCAGGCAAACACCCTAGTGTCAGAAAGGGCAAGGGATGTCCCAAGGACACATAGTGGCAGAGGCAGGACTAGAACCAGGGTGTCTGAGAGGATCCTAAGTTCAGGTTCTACTCCTGGCTCCACAGCTGCCTCTCTAGGACAAGGTCTCTGGCCAGGGCAGCAGTCAAGGGAGGACCCCACAGAGGCCAGTGGCCTATCTGGAAAGCCACAGACCCACTTCCACAACATGTCTTCAGTGCTTTTGTAGAGGGTTCTCGGAGCCAAAGAAAGGGGCCTTTGTCTCCATCAATGGGATATAGGTTAAACCATTCTTCCCCGGCGACACTAAAAATACCAAATTACAGTAGCTACTAGTGACTGCGCAGTCACTGTGTGTGTCTGGAACCGCTCTAAACACTTAACATGAATTCTTACCTTCCACAATAGCACCGTGTCAGTCCAACTTACAAGCAAGGCCCTCAGAAATGGACTTGTCCAAAACTCACAGACATGGCAGTCAACCCTAAGAAGTGGAACTGGGATTTGAACTCAGGTGGTGTGGCTCTGGGTACACTCAGGCTTGGTCAGGAATGCCAGTTCCACCACTCCTAGCTGCACTGCCACGGGCAAGTTCCTCTGACTTCCCCCTCCCCCATTTCCCTTTCTCTAGGAGCCCTGGTGGTGTAGTGGTAATGTGTTGGGCTGCTAACTGCAATGTCAGCAGCTTGAAATCACCAACCGCTCTGTGGGAGAAAAATGAGGCTGTCTGCTCCTGTAAAGAGTTAGCGTCTCAGAAACCCACAGGGCCAGTTCTCTCCTGTCTTTTGGGTCGTTACGAGTTGGAATTGACCCGATGGCAGTGAGTTCAGTTTTGGTTTGATCTTTCTCGTGTCAAGGGGTGAAAAATAATGGAACGCGATGAGAATGATGTCTGTCAGCTTCTGAGGAAGTGCCTGTTCCGTAGGAAGTGCACAATACAGCTGCCCCCAAATAAAATCAACGCAGAGCCATGAAGGATGAAACGGGTTTTGGGCCAGGTGGACTAGGGTAAGTGGAGGGGCGGGAGGCCCCTTGTTTGAGCAAAGGCAAGGGGGCATGAGGCAGGGCTACAGCTTCAGGCAGGAGAGGGCATAGGCCAGGATTGAGGGGTCAGAGCTTGGTCCAGGAAGCCCCTTGGACATCACATTGCTGTGGAACCAACTCAGACAGAACCGATCGGGCTGGGGCTGCTATGTGGGCAAAACCCAGACTGCCAACTCAGGGCATGTTCTCCTCCGTGGGGAGGCATTCCAGTAAAAGGCAGTCGGTAACCTGGTCCTCACTTGCCTCCGCGCTGAAGAGCCTCTAACTCCATCTGCCTCTGTGCTCTCCACAGGGAGAAAAGCTGCCAGCGGCACCCAGTCAGCACCCTGCCACTCTGACCTACTCTTGCCCTCTTCCTGGGAAAAGATAGTGATTCGTCCCAGCCTGCCCTTCTCCAAACCTGGTCCCGAGGATGACACGGAACGGTATCTGTGAACACTTTTCAGGATGCGCATGGGCTGTGGACGTGGTACCTTGCTCACCCTGGTAGCCATGCAGACTCCTGGGCATACAAGTCCTCCTTCAATCGAGGCCCAGTAATGCTTGTTGACAGAGGCACCTGGTTCCCATTGCGGGTGCATGATACATCTACTAACGCCCACTTCCATGTTGCCACCACCCCTCTTCCACTTGAGGTGGGAGATCCTGAAAAGCCAGGGCTGTTTCTGATTCGGGGAGCAGAGCAGGTTCATGACCAATGTTGGATGAATTGAATTTCCTCACTTAAAAAGCAAGGCAAACGCTAATTCTTTCCTTTGCTGTTTGTGGTTCAAATGAGATGCTATCGTTAGAGGTCCTGACAAGGGCCCCTTCTCCCACCTAGCTGGACTCAGTCCAGGCCTGTCTCTTTCTCAAGACGAAGATGAAGAAAAGGCCACCACGGTTAAAATGGAAAGTTTTATTAAAACACGCGCAGTGGATGTATAATCGTATCACTGTATGGGGTGAGTATAAATGTGCAAACCTAGTTTGTGTAACTCAATAGCTCGGCTTATCTGACGGTGGCTGGACCTTCACGGTCGCCGGCAACAGCCACTGCAGTGTTTAGGACAGGGTGGCAGGCCGCCTCCAATTCCAGCCAGCTGGCCTTTCACCTGGCTCCCCATCAGGCCTGCAGTGGCATGGCACGGCCCAGCCCTGCCACCTCTGCACCATACCCAAGGGGGCTCTGCCGCGGCTGCCAACCCTGAGACTGCCTCGCAGTAGCTGACAACAGTAATAACTTAAAATCAGGATAATAAGGAAAAGCAGATTAAAACCCAAATGCATGGACATTCAGGGAAGAAAAAGTCATCACACACTGGCAGAGTCCGCGGGCTTGGCGTGGGAATTTAAAGTCCCATCTTTGCTGCAAGAGCCTGGCTTTTTTCAATGCCCCTCCCCCTAGAAAATGGAATAATACTGACTTTAGCAGCAATCACAACCCAGGAAGAGGATGATAAATGGGGGACACGTTTCGGTCACGGCAAAGAACGATTATGTGCTTCTCTGTGCCGTGGGATGGAAGACTGCTCGGGCTTTGGATACCATTGGTGCCCTGTCCTTCCCCTGACATGGGGGGTTGGGGGGTGGCTCTGCTCAGTCAAGGGAGAGGACGGGCAAACAGGACAGGATGAGTGTCTGTCCAGAGGACGGTGGGAGGGACTGCCAGGGAGGAAGAGGCACACGCCGGCAGCCACTGTCAGCGGACACTTCTCAAAGCTGGCTCCCCAAGGCTGAGGCCTGGTTGCTGCAGACAGAGCATGCTGATTCTGCAGGCAGTGAGCAGGTGGGCAAGAGCCAGGCAGAGATGTCCCCACTGCCATCGGCGATTATGCAAAGTGACAAGTGATTGCTTTCCTTTTCAATGACAACCCCTTTGGAAAAAAGCTTTTTTTCTGAGCTGGATCCTGGGGGACTGCAAGGGCTAGGAGGGGACTGAGGACATTTGTGGAGGGGAAGGCCTGAGTGGGGGTACCCAGCAGGTCTCCCCACCTGCTCTGCAGACTGACCCCACAGCCTTCCGGGGTGACACTGAGGTTGAGCTAGGGCCTACGAGGGGGTGACTGGGTAGGTCAGGGTGCTGGGCATGGCTCCTCGTCTGCACTGCGGCCTGCCTGAGCCAAGGCCCGCCGGCGGGCCAGGCGTGACTTGGAGGGAGGGGACAGCTTCATGGAGCAGACGCCCTCAGCCAAGGCCTGGGACTCTCCGGTCAGCTGGCTCTCGGTCTCCTCGTGCTGGGACAGCTGGCGGTTCAGGGCGATGGCCTCAGCGGCGAACAGCGTCAGGTCCATGGTGCTGCTGTTCCTGCAGGAGGGAGGGAGGGAGGGAGGGAGGGAGGGAGGGTGGGCGGGCAGGGAGGCAGGCTCAGTGGGCGGCCAGGGCTCCTGGACAGTCCCGTTGGGCACTGCAGACTCGAGACTCCAACCAGGGTCTCCTGGAGAGGGTGGGCAACTCTCAAAGTACCGTGGCTCCTCTGGGAATGACCTCTCAGCCTCAAGAGCAGTCCTGAGCGGGACAGTTGGGGCAAATGCCGCCTTCGGTTCAGGTGCCCCTCCTCTCAGCCCCCACAACTCTGCACACAGCAGATGAGACTTGTCATGAAGCTGGCTCTCCCCACCAGGGCAGGAGCGCTGAGAGCAGGGCTGTGCCTCTTCGGCCTGTGTCCCCAGAACCCAGCCCATGGCTAGCACGTAATAGGCACTTTGGGTTTGCCGAGTAGATCTCCTTGGGTTTGGATCTGAGACTAGCCTTGGGTGCCTGGAGGCAGTGAGATAGAGTCAGGTAGCAATCCAAGCTGGCCAAGAGCAGGTGAGACTGTAAAGATGCCAGACAGACCTCTGTGTGACTCCCAAAGGGGCCATGCCATTGGTCCCGGCAATGCTTTAGCCCTGGCTGCTCAAAGAGGGTGGTGCTCTGAGGAGCACTAGTCAGCTGTTTAAAAGGCTCGGCAGTCAACAGATTTGGGTCCAGAGCCCAGCTCCATAGGCTAGTGTGTGGCTTTGGACAAGTTCTGGCTCTCCCATCTATAAAATGGGGGTCATGGGAGTGAGTACCTCTCTTTGAGATTCATCATGCCAGTCATGGATATAATACATGACAAGTCCGTAGCAGGAGGGTGTAGGACCTAGTCTTCTATAGTTATCTGTATAGGGAAACTGGATGGATGGAAATATGAAGATAATAACGGGATTGATGATTACCAGGGGACATGGAGGAGGGTGGGGGAACAGGAGAATCAACATCAATGTGTAAGAGAAAAAAGCTACAAAAATTGATTGTAATAATGACTGCACAGCCCTTCTTGCTATGACTGAACCACTGAATTATAGGACATGTTAATTACAAATCAGTAAAAAAAAAAATTGACACTTGGTGGTCATTCCTATTACTCTGTGTGTGTGCACGCACACGCGCTCACTTGTGTGCCCATTGGTCCCGACACCTGCTCCTTTTGCCAATCCGTGGAAGCAGGAGGGGAACAAGGTGTGAGTGTCCCACGGCCTTGGTGAGTGTCCTACGGCATGACTTCGCCATCATGTTGGTGGAGGACCAGTGAAAAAAGAGTGAGATTGTGAGGAGGGGGCAGGACCAGGGACTTGTTCTGTTCTGTTCTACGCAGGGCTGTTCTGAGTCGGAATTGACTAAGTGGCACCAGACAATAACAAAGTCTTTTTCTTTGGACTATAAATGGTGATTTCCAGTTACAGGTAGGTTTTGTAGATTAAGTGGACATTCAAAACAATGATTTCACTTGCAAGCAGTGTAAGAGGGGCTGGAAAGGTGTTGGAGTATGGGGGAAGAGGGTCAGCCGCCCTGTGGTGAAAGAAGAGAGGGAGGCGGGGAGACACAGTGGGTATGGGGGTGGCAGGACCAAAAGTCCCCTGAAGAGGATGGTATCTGCGTCTTGGGATGGGCCCCGGCCCACCTGCCATCTGAGAGCTCTAGGAAAGCTGGAGCCGGAGAGAAGGGTGGTGGGCGTGGGCGTGGCTGCACCATTTACCTCTGGAGCACTTGCGGCGTGGGGATTCCCCTTTCTGGAGCTTGCTAGAAGGGGAAGGACAGATGCGTGGGTAAGTGCTGCTCTCTCCTTCCAAGAGCTGCCCCTGCCCATGCCAGCACAGCGTGGGGTGGCTGCCACAGGCTCTCAGGCCAGTACAGGGACTGGCCGTGCTTGCCTGCAGGGTCAGACCTTCCAAGGAGAGAGTAAGAGAGGCACGAGCTGAAGTCACAGGCCTCAGTGCGGCTCCCCGGAACGGAAAGCCCCCTTCTCGTCTTCCTGGCAAAGTCCTGATCTTCCTCCAAGACCCAGCTCAGGGGCCACTTCAGCTTCCTGACCCTTGCTTGTGCACCTAGCATTTTGTAGAAGCATTCATCACACTATCCTGTCATCCTCTGCCCTCACCACCCATCTGCCGCTCCCCACGAGCACATGAAGACAAGAAATGGTTCTTACACCCCTGTATTTCCAGCACCGGGCACCTGCCGTGTGCTCAGGGAAGGAAGGAACACTCGGGCGCTGGGAAAGAGTGACTTAGAGACTGGGCTTTGGATCAAGTCCTTGTCTGCCACAGGGGTTTGGCCATTCCTGCCTCCTTCCACCAACAGGGTCATGGTGGCTGGCTAGGACCCAGCAGAGCAAGGACACAGTCACTCCCAGGTAGGCCTGGGCTCATGAGGGGCCGAATGTAGACATCTTGACTAAGAAAGGAGGATTGAAAGAATGATTCTACTGAAGTCTGGATACCATATATACTTGAGTACAAACTGACCTGAATGTCAGCGGAGGCACCTAATTTTGCCACAAAAACTGCATAACAAATATGCTGAAAAAACTCAGCTTATAACACGAGTACATATGGTACTTAACCTGAGGGAAAGCGCCACCACGTGCCTTTCAGGTTAGCTGCACCCAGACACCCAGAGCCCCGAGGAGAACTCATTGTCCCCAGGGCAGCACAGCATTGCTTCTGGGTGCTCTCAGCTAATGAGATTTCTGTATAGAGGGTGAGTAGTACAGGCCCCAAACAGCAATGCCAGACTGCCTCCTGTGATGCCTGTCTCTGCCATTAGTGAGAATGTGCACACCAACCCCCCAGAGCTCTCTGCCAACCTAAGACCTGAGAAGGGGGCTCCTCCTGGGACTAAGGCATGAGTCCATTTACTCTGCATGGGTAAATGCAGATCAGCCAGCTGGGTAGTGCCCAGGCGCTGCTGCTGTGAGAGCTTCCTCATGGTCACGCTGCAGGCCTGAGTGGTACAATGCCACCCATTCCTGGAGCCACTCACCCCCTGCACCCATGGGTGCTGCAGAACCTGGGCGGCACTGAGTCTCTGCTTGGCATCGCGAACCAGGAGCTTGGAGATGAGGTCCTTGGCCTCACTGGAGATGTGCGCCCAGTCCTTGTCAGGGAACTCGTACTTGCCCTCCTGGATGCTCTCAAACAGCTTGTTCTAGGGAAAGAAGAGTCCTCTGAGGCTGCAGTGCCCAGGGGGTGGACAGCATGTGCTTGGCGCCAGCCTGCCCACCCTGGGCCAACTGACCTCGGGGTAGCCATGGTGGAAGCATCACAGCTTTTGGCTGGCCGGGGGTGGGGTGGGGTGGGGTGTCAAGTAGGTGACGAGTGGGGAGTCTCACCTAGAGAACAAAGGCCAATCCCTTGGCCCTTCAAACAGGGCCCCCGTGAACTGGCTCCTGCAGCCTCTCCAGCCTCACACTTCCCTACCTCCTCTTGGCACAGGTGCAGCTGGTTCTGAACCCCGTCTGCTCATGCTGCTCCTTCCACTTGTATTTCTTGGTGCTGGGGTGGGGGCTGGGGAGCTTGCACTGTTGTTAGTTGCTGTCAAGTTGGTTCTGACTCAGGAGCACCCCATGTGTGCAGACTAGAACTTCCCCAGAGGGCTCTCAGTGCTAGGCCGGCTACCTGAGGCGTATCTGGGGGGTTAGAACCTAGTCCGGGGTTTCATATTTTGCACCTCCCAGGGGACTCCCTGGGGCCATCCTTTAAGACTCAGCTCAGGTACCACCTTCTCGAACACCTTCTCCTGACTCAGCATGGCTGAGGGCAGCTTGTCTCTACCGACATCACCAGTTCATACATCGTCCTCACCCACGAAACCCGTGGGTCTCCTTGGGGACATGTGGCAGGGTCTGAGGATGCTTTTGGCTGGGTAGATGCCATGGATGCTGATGCCGTTAAACACCCTACACGGCACAGGACAGTTCCTCCAATGGTGAAGAATCACCAGCCTTAACTGTTCAGTGTGGAGGCTGAGAAGCCCCCCACAAGCTCAGGAGTCCCCTGAGGGCAGAGACCATGTCTCCCGGGCCCTGGCAGCCCAACCAACCCCTGGTCTGGCCTGGCCTGGCACCAGCACTCAGTGAACACTTGCTGAAATACACAGAACTGTGGCTCTGTCCTGTTGACTTTTATCCCCTTTCCTCAAGGAGAGGGAAGGGTCTTGCTGGGGTGACAGTGAGTGGCTAGTGGAAGGAGCGAAGTCTCACCCAAGCCTGGCACCCTCTCCACAATTACATAGCTTGGACATGTTTTCTCTGTCTTCAGTGCACTCAGAAAACAGAAGGAGCTTATCCAAGTGGGCGACATGTCTGGTTCTGACAAGTGGACAGTGGACAGGGTTTCCAGTAGAGAAACGGTCTCAGGCCTGCAGCTAGAATGGCAGGACTCTCTCTCTCTGCTCCGACTGGACTTCCACCCTGCTCTCCCTCAGAGGTTGACAGCACTGTACCATTACCCCTTTTGGAAGATGAGGGAACAGAAGTCCAGAAAGGTGAGTGCCATGAGTGCTGGTGGCAGACCAGGTTGTCCTGTGCTCTGGTGAGATGCAGTGGGGAGGCTGGTGCACGTAGTGTGCTCGGCAGAGGGCGGAAGGGGGCTGGGTAGAACTCTCCCCATACCTCAGGGCCTTTAGTGTGGGCCTCCAATCCCAGGTTCTTACTCTCCTCTTTTCCCACCTTGGAATCACTGCCCCTGGACAGGAGAGGACCAGGACAGTGGATCAGGGACAGCTCCATGCCCAGTCAAGCTTGGTGTCCTAACCACCATGTGCCTGAGTGAACCCGGGTCTGGGCTCACCTGGCACAATCTGCAGACCTCTCCCCGGTCCCAGCCGCAGTCGGCGCCGCAGTGACCCACAAAGGGTGGGTAGCCGCTCAGCATGATGTAGAGGACCACGCCCAGGCTCCACAGGTCACAGCGCTTGTCGTAAAAAGTGGCCTCATCCGTGAAGACCTCCACCACCTCGGGGGCCATGTATTCGGCAGAGCCACACTAGGAGGGGCAGGGTGGGAGAGAGATGCAGCGTCAGAGGGAGACAGGATGTTAAAGAGCAGAATGCAATGGGACCCCTGGGCCAAGTGAACATTTGGAAACTGAATCCTAGAATCCCTTACGTCACGACTCACGCTGTCAGTTCCCAGGCACCTTCTTGTCTTTCAGGCCCTTCACCTGGCAGCAGATTCCCTTGCCCAATAAGGAGCAAGCAGTTCTCCCTGCCCCAGGGCTCCATAAACACGCCCTCCATGCACAAGACTTCACGAGGAGTTCTTCGTGAAGTCCCGCCAGACTGGCTCAGAGCAAAGTGCACGAGTGTAGAATCAAGAGACTATCACAGCTTGAAGAGCTCTTCGAGCAAATACAACAGGCCAGGCCTTTGTCCAAGCATATCAGAACCCAAGATCCCCCACCTCCCATCCCGGTGCAGAAACTGCTGATCAGCCGGAAACAAGTACCACCCCCTACTGTTTCAGCTTCACCAGCACACACACAGAGAGTCTGGTGGGAGGGCAGTAATTGAAAAAAGGATATTTTTTTTTGGTTAACAGCAATTAGAGCAAATGCTTTAGACAACAAGGGAGCCTAGAGTATTAGAAGTTAATAAAGAAACATTCTTAATAAGGTTGCATGGAATAAGACACATTTAGGCATATTTAAATGAATGTGTGATAACAGGGTTATTAGAAAAATTCACTTATGAACCATGTAAATCTCAAAAGCATCGTAGTAATTACAGTATATCGAGTATGGACAGAGATGTCTTTGGAAGTGTCTCCCAAGAGCAGCATCTGGGTGTGAAAGGTGAAGTCAGACACAATAGCTAACATAGCTCAGCAATGCTGCCACACAGGGCCCCGAGCCCCGCCATTATTGTGAGACACTCCTGCTCCGCTGCCGGAAAGGTGGTCTGAGTCCTTTATTGGCAAAGGAGGTAGTGTATGACATCAGCAGTGGGTAGGGGACCACAGAGGTGCCCTCCCAGCCCCTCTGAAAGGTAAAGCCAGTGTCTGACTCAGAACTCAGTTTGTGCTGCAGAATCTGGTCTTTGCCTCTGTTCACAGAGAAGGCCGCCCCAAACTGAAAGCTCAAGTACCAGTTTCACCAGTGCTAAGGACTGGCTCTACGGGCTGTGGCGTCCCAACACAAAGGGGCGAGCTAGTCAAAAATGCAGGCAGCAGGCAATACGTGAGACAGGCTAAGTTATCCCTTCCTTCCTAGACCTCTGCCCTGGACGTTGCAGCTTCCGGTCTGGGGACACTACAGATGTACAAGCACCAAGAGGGAGTGGCAGAGTGCCCGGCCATACGTACTGGAGTGGTCAGCTCTGGTGTTGTTATAGGGGTGCAGGAGTTGTTGAGTTTCACTCCACTGCCTAAGTCAAAGTCACAGATTTTCACTGGAGACACCTGCAAAGGAAAAGAGCAAAGATTACACACATCACACCCCGAAGGGCATGAGGAGGCCACAGGATGAAATGGGGGGCACAGTTGTATGTGTGGCTGTCCCGCTGAAGGCCAGCCTTTTCTATCTGGTATAACTTACTCTCCTGTGGTAAAGGGGAATCACCGAGGACTTAGCCAAGGTGTCCTCTTCCCCAGCTTCTTTGCTGCTGCTGCCATTAGTTGCCATCAAGCAGACGGCAGCACGTGAGGCTCAAGGCGACCTCGTGTGTGCTGAGTGCCTCAGCATTTTCAAGGCTGTGACCCTTTGGAAGTGGACTGTCAGGCCTGTCCTCAGAGGTGCCTCTGGAGTGGGGTTGACCAGCCAGCCTTTTAGCTCGTAGTCACATGCTTAAACTGACTGCCTGACCGTGGCCTCTGGTCTTTCCTCATTTTCCTACTCTACTGTGGTAGATGGTGTGAGCTTGATATAAAACGAGTAGCCACCTATGAAACACTTGCCAGGAGATGACAGCACAGAAGCTAGAGAGGCCAATGTGCATTCCTGAAAGTCAGACTCTGCAGCTCATTCAGTGGAGAGCAGGGACCTTAGAATGAAATCTCTGACCACCTCAGATGGTATAGGATTACAGACTCATGTTGGTTTGCTTGCCTGGGACTTTGTTGGTTTTAGGCCTGAATGCCGTGTCCTGGAAAACCCCCAGCCCGGGTGGGGTCAACATAGCAGCCAATCACCCCTTAATTGGAGGCTATGGGACCACAGCTGGAGGCTGGCCAGGCAGCAGCCTATTGTGTGCATGACAGCGAATGTCCTTATGGGGACAAAAAAGGTTAGTTCTGTGAGTCTCAGGTCAGCCATGAACCCGCTAGGGCAGCCTGGATGAGTCTCAATTCCTTTCCCTTTTGTTATTTAATTTTTCTTAATTCTTTCAATCATACAACAGGGGCAACAGAGCTGCGCCATGGAGATGATATGAAATACAGGACATGAAGCACACTGTAAACCAGAAGCACTGGAAAGGGGAGGGGGCCCGCTTTGGGGTCAGGCTACCTGCGTTTTCGTCTAGGCCAGCAGTTCTCAACCTGTGGGTCGAGATCTCTTTGGGGGTCGACGACTCTTTCACAGGGGCCGCCTGAGACCATCGGAAAACACATATTTCTGACGGTCTTTGGAACCGAGATACGGCTCCTCTATCCATCTCCAGGGGGGTCCGCCCACATGCAGATATGCCCACATAAGAGTGCCCGGCATGAAGACTGTTACCCATGCTACACCATGCTTCCAGACAAAATTTCATTTATTTGTAATTAGAAATAAATATTTCACAGTATATAATTACATATTGTTTTTTGTGATTAATCACTATGCCTTATGTTCAATTTGCAACAATGAAAATACATCCGCGGGAAGCCAGGCCAAGGCTGGGACCCTCCCCGCCCCTCTCCCTGCATCTCTAACAGATTCCCTTCAGACTCCTGTATTGTTACTGTCTCTCTCTTTGTAAATAAAAGGCACTGGCTTCCAAGAAAAAAAAAAAAAGAAAATACATCCGCATATCAGATATTTACATGATGATTCATAACAGTAGCAAAATGACAGTTATGAAGTAGCAATGAAAATAATAACTACATGAAGAAGTGTATTAAAGGGTCATGGCACTAGGAAGGTTGAGAACCACTGGTCTAGGCTCTACTATTCAAAAGCTGAGTGGCTTTGAGCAGGTTGGTTTCCTCATCCATAAAGCGAGGACAATAATATCTACCTCATTATTTTCTAAATTCTGAAAGCAACAAGGCACCTATCACAGTATCTGGCACAATGCAAGCACTCAATAGATGCTAGCCACATCATTACTGGTAATAAGTTATAAAGCTCTGTGCTGGAACCACGGATAGGAACGCATAAGCTTCTTATTTGAACTCACACATTACTATTCCCCACAGAAGACTTGTAAATGGCGAGCCGACTAGTCTTTTTGCTAGCAGCCATTCCTTAGTTATTGAGTCGTAGATTAATCCAGTTCAAGACATGCTCTCTCATGCACACACAAGTGTCTATGCACACGGAGGCATGGACACAGCTCACCCAAGCATCATACCTAAATCTCTCTGAAGAAACACAGGGTTTGGCCAATTCATAGGCACTTATGGAAATCGAGCATTTCCATGCACAAGTAGATTGAGTTAGGGCAAAGTTTAAAGTAGGCTGCATTTGCTCAATACCACTCATGAATGTTTAAATTTTAATGGCCACCTTTGGAAATAAAAATGGAAGTAGGAACCCCTTTGGAGAACTTGCTAATCTTGCCAGTTGGGGAAGTCATCTGGCACCCATGCTGTAAGAGGGCCTCATCTCGGCAGCACTGTGCTTCCTCTGAGGAGGAGTTGCTGTTGACAGCTCACGCCGAGCGCTGTGAAGGTGGGCACGTTGGATTGGAGACATGGATTCTGGGCCGGTCTCACAGCACTCACACACAGGCTTCAGTGACTCACACTGATGACAGTGGCCAAGGGATAAGGATGACCCAGCTTGGAAAGGAGGGCTGACTCAAGTTGGTGTCTGATGCCGAGAGGACTGCCAACAACAATCCACACTGAAAGGAAGGGGGCTTCCCCCAATCTGTCCACTGGTAAGGTCCCCAAATCAGGGCCCAGGTAAGTACCTTTTCTGGAGACTCACACAATATATTTTCCGGCTTCAGATCACGATGAGCAATGCCTGAAATGACAAAGGGCAAAGAAATGGTTAACATATGCACATAATTATCAAACATTCCACACACAATTAATTTTTTCCAAATGCTGTTGTTCGCAGATTAATTCCCAATTATGGTACATTAAAAAGTTAACGAGCTGCAGGAGGCAGAAGCAACCAGAGACACAGACCAAAAGCACAGTTGATTCTGCAAGTTCTTTTGAAGCAGGGCTTTAGAAATCTGGCAGGGATAAGAAGGGCTAAATGAATCCCAGTCACTGGCTAGCCTTTCAGCGCCGCAGTGACAACCAGAGGAAGCACGTCTAATGCAGAGCAGAGCAGAATGTGCTGCAGAGTCAGTGCTGGGAACTGCAAGGCAGAAATAATTAGTGCCTTAAGAGCCTCTCAGGGGTCCCGCACCACTCTACCTTGTTTCTTCGTGTGTGGCCGATTAAAAAAACCCCAAAAAACAAAAGATTCCTCCAGTGGGACTCCTTGAATGTTCAGGAGATCAAGTGTTAGTTAACAAATCTCCCCAAAGCTGTGAGAGCGCTCCTTGCTTGCTCTGCGTGGCCAAGACAGCCCCGCCAGAAGCAGAGCCTGGACTGCTCGGCCTGGCTGCGGTTCTTAGCAGGAGTCCCTCTAGCCTTTTTGCCAGGCCTCTCCTGGAAACCAAATCAAATCCCCTGCGGTTAGTCCATTCCGGCTCACAGCAACCTTTCCTGGAGTAGAAAGCTCCACCTTTCTCCTGAGCGGTCACGCCACCAGGGATTAGGGGTTGGGGTGCTAATGACAGAGTTGGAGGTTCAAGCCCACCACCCACTGCTCAGAAGAAAGATGAGGCTTTCTCTCGAAGGAGCTTGCACATAGCAGCTCACTTCACAAGCTATTCAGCTGGCCAAGAAGCCTCTGGGGAAAGCTGTTGTCCAAAGTCGGGGTGGGGGGCATCCAGCCCTTGAACTGTGTAAGGCCCAAGAAATCATCAATACCAGTTAACACCACATGCCTCACCAAAAAGAAGCAGTTCCTGCCATCACACTAGGGGTGCGTCAATTAAATGTTTGACCAAATATAGCAGGTTAATTTTTAAGGTGATAATATTGTATGGGCCGAGAATGATGCAATACATATCCAAATGGCCCTTGGCAGAAGAAAAAAGGTTCCTCACCCCTAGTTGAAGTCATAGACTATGAAGCTTATTTGGCCTACTGCCCCCTCTTCAAGGGGGGGGATTACTCAGGGGTCCCTGACAGTTAAAAACTTGTACTATAACCCATAATCCAGGATAAAGTGTAGGCACTGGTTTTGCTGCAGCCCATTTGGATCATTCCAGAGTCCCCCAACATTAAACTTGCTGCCCCTGAGTTGATTCCAACTCATTTGCACTGCCCCTGTGAGTTTTTGAGACTGTTATAACTCTTTATAGGAGTAGAAAGCCTCATCTTTCTCCATTGAAGCAGCTGGTGGTTTCAAACAGCTGGTGGTTTCAAACTGCTGATCTTAGCAACCAAACTCGTAACCACTATGTTCCCAGGGCTCCTGGTCTAACCAAAGACAGGGACAAAGACGAATCAACGGGTTGGGCCATCGTGTCCTAGAGGTTGACTCAGAAGCCTCTTTCCTCTTTCCTCGGGCAGAAAGCACAGTGCAGACGCTGCAGAGCGGGCCGGCAAACAAGAGCCTGGTGGCTGCTCTCGGAAGTCCTGGACAGTACAGAGGAGTCTGGGGGAACAAGAAGAGTTGGGAAACGCCGAAGCTGTGTTAATGAAACTTGCCCTGAAAAACGGGGGCAGTCTCCACTTCCCCGCTGGGTGGGGAGGGCTCAGCCCACCTGAGGCACTACACTGGATGAAAAACCTGAGCCCGGGCAGGCTAAGTAACTTCATCAGTCACCTAATTGAATGAGAACCCAGAGCAACTGGGCCCAGGCTGCACAAATTGAGTGGGGCTGCGGCCCGCCGCACTAAAAGTGAAAGATATTTTCCATTACAGCAAGTGCTCCTACAGAAGGATCACGAGCCACACATGGAGCCTTACTCTCCAAATGGGTGGCAATGGCCCAACTGTCCCCTGGCCCGAGCGCGCCGAGAGCCAGGCTGTGTAGTAACGGGCCGGCCTGGGTGAGCACACCAGCCATCCAGCCGCTCTGCTTCATTTCCCAAAGGTTAAGCGGCAGTGTGGCCGGTATTTAAAAGCATGGAACTTGTTTCAGGGCTGACCCATTCTTGCCCAATTCATCTTCCCAGCGTGAAGTTATTTAGAAAACAACCAAGTTCAGCTGGAAATCGTTTTTCATCCCCTCCAACTTCCAGGCGCTCGGGCGCCTGGCCAGCGACATGTTAACAGGCACTTCAGAACTCCTACGACACCACCAGCCGCCATGCCCTTTAGTGCATGCTTGTAAAAAAATAAATAAATAATACAAAACCGCCTTTACCCTCCTCTGAGGTATGGATCTTGTAAAAAGAGTGACCCAGTTTTGCAATCTACAGAGGCAGCTTGGGGAGTAGTTGTAAATCTCTGTCAGACAGGTGTTACCTACATGCATCCCAGCTCTCAGAAACAGAACAACTGCTATTCATCATGCTGCGGAATTTCCATCCCAGGTGCAAGTCCTGCCCCCCAGCATGGGCGCTGTCAGGATGGGATCTCTTTTCAGCCATGGAGGACATCATGAACTGGAGCCTCCCCACACACGCACACCAGGTTGTGCTTGGCCACAAGGGGAGGCTGGCACCCCACGTGGGATGTGGAAACTGGCAGGCCAACCAATGGCCTATGCACTCCTCACCAACATGGCGGCCAACATGCGTGGCAGCCAGGAAAAGGGAGCCGAGGCCACACAGTTGCTTCCTCCACCCAAGCCCCATTCCCCACCAGACAGAAGGCTTTGTTCCAAGGGAATGAATATTTGGAATAAGAATGCCTTCTGTCTGGTAGTGGCAGATGAAAGTGGAGAAACTAGTGTTTATAGGAGGAACTACTACGGTGCCAGGCATCAGGTTTCATCTATGGTGGTGGCCTGGGTTGTTGATTCTGACTCATAGTGACGCCCTGGCAGTAGAATAGAATGCCTGCAAGGTTTTCTTGACTCTTTATGGCAGGGCCCAGGTGGGGTAGTGGTTATACACTGGGCTGCTAACCGCAAGGTCAGCAGTTCAAAACCACTAGACGCTCCTCAGGAGAAAGATGAGGCTTTTTTTACTTCTGTAAAGAGTTATCGAGTTAGAAACCCCAGGGGCAGTTTTGTCCTGTCTTACACGGTTGCGCTGAGTCAGAATCTGCTCGATGGCGGTGAGGTTTGAGTCTAAGAATCTTTACAGAAGCAGGTCACCAGGTCTTTCTCCCGTATAGCTTCCTGGTGGGATCAAACTACTAACGGGACGGACACCTTATGTTCGATCTCTGAAGGGGCTTCAGAAAAACCCCAAAGCTTTTCATTTCATTTTCCACAACCTTTTGGAACTATCCATTATTGCATAAATGAATTTAATATATATGGAAAAGGCTTAGACTAGTGCCTAGCACGTCAGTGCTGTATAATATTTGCAGTTGTCGATGAACACGTTTCTTACTTCTCACCACAGCTCTATGGGATAGGCATTACTATTGAGAGAGCCCATAGCTAGAAAAAAAGGTGAAGCCCGAATTCTCTTTATCCAGGGAATTAAACTGTAATTAGCTTAAAATTAAGCAAATTTAAAAATGGATGCAATATTCACATATACTTATGGAAATGTTAAAAAAAACACCCCACCTAATTTACAAAGAAATTTAATTGACTATAAAAGGAATGGGATGATACACTGAAGTATAATTGAAGTAAAATTCAAACACCCTCCCCCCCCAAAAAAAAAGTCTATTTCAAGTTATTTCAACTGATAGGGACCCTGATAAAAGGCTTCTGAGGCTATAAGTCTTTACGGGAGCAGAGAGACGCAACTCTCTCCCACAGAGAGAATGGTGGGTTTGGATCACCGACCTTATGGTTAGTAGCCCAAGACTTACGAACAGTACCACCAAAGTTATGTAATTCAAAACAACAGCAAGCTGCTAGTTACCATTGTGACGTTCAACGGATATCTCAGACGAGCCACATTGCAAGAAAAAGCATTTTTTATTTATCATGAGAAAGACAAAACTGTTTGTACTTTCATGCCAATTTTGAAGACAAAATGATACATCTAAAAATACAAGAATTATTCCAAAAATACGTATAATGCCAAAACAAAGAAGAACAACAACAAAAACCCAACTTACTGCCATCGAGTCAATTCTGAGTCATAGTGACCCTAAAAGACAGAGAACTGCCCTTCTGGGTTGTGAAATCTTTACTGGGACAGCCTCATCTTTCTCGTATGAAATGGAACCACTGACCTTGGGAAGCAGCTCATTGCAGAGCCCACCACACCACTGAGGACCCTGTATTTATAACAGAATGGTGATGTTAAACATAAGCTTGACATTCTTCATCAGGAAAAAGAAAGATAATCTGTATACACATGTATATTCACATCTTGCTCAACATGAGATTATTCAGCTTCCTCCTGTATCCCTGCCCTAGTTTAGAGCACCACCATCTACTAACCTTCAAGCCAGAAGCACATGCTGACTCATCCTGGATTGTCCCCGGACCCTCATGAATGGGCAATTTTGAATCTCAAGTTGCCTGCAAACTGCTCCAACTTCTGGATCAAGCCATTTGCCGGGTCTGCTCAGTTCAATCACAGAGGCAAAGACAAAATCGGGGCTCACCTTTGGTGTGCAGAAAGTCAAGGGCAGCAGCAACATCCTGTACCACTCGGCTGGCTTCGAGCTCATTGAAGTGTTTCCGCTTCTGGATGTGGGCCAGGATGGAGCCTGGGGGGAGAGGGGCCACAGAGGAAAGACTTTTCATTTCTAGGAAGTAACTTCTTAGAAGTGAAGTTTCCACAAGTTTGGGAGCTTCTGAAGGGCAGGAATATAGGCTCTTTCAGGGCTACCTATCCTTCAAGGATCCTTAGTGGTTAGGCTCTTAACTGCTGACTGCAAAGTTCTTAGCTGCAAGCAGCTGAATCCACCCCATGGAGTGGAGACCCAAAGCCCATCTGTAGATAATTGAACATCCCTTTATAGAAGGGTCACAAGGAAGAGACGAGCCAGTCAGGGTGCAGTATAGCA